AAGTGGCGAAAATCGCAACGACCTGTAACTTCAAGTTACACTTGGACAACCAGAGCGCAATCAAGATTGCAAACAAGCACGGCTTCGTCAACAGGACCAAGTACATCGCACCTACGCCCATGTGTTGGTCATGGGGCAAAAGTGTCTGGTCCATAGGTTCGCACCTACTTGGGATTTGGGTTTGAGCAGTGGTCCCCAAGCCCTTGAGCCACTAATCTTACTAGGGATGCAAAAAAGAAAGAGCTGATGTGATGCTCACTAGCCAAAAATAACTGAAGTTATTTCCTCATAGGCCAACGCCCAAGTGCTGGTTATGGGGTAAATGTGTCTGAACCAGGCCTGATGTTTCAAAAAAAGGCACTCTGAGCCAACGCCCCCATTTTTATTTTTTTTAGTCTAAAGGGCCTTTTTCCAGAATTTAGGCACTCTGAAATGTCAGAGTCCAGAGATGGGCAAGTTTGAATTCCTCATCAATCAGAGTCGCATGTTCCTAACTACACTTCTGGTAAGGTTATATTTTGCTACACATCACAGGAGCTTATAACAACTACTACTATCACCAAGCAGTCAGTAACTAACCACCTAGAATTCTGGGTCATCATCCATTCTTGGAGCCTCATCCTCCTCATCATCCCTATCCTCCTCAGCCCACCCCTCCCCCATGCACTCTGGCACTTCCCCCTCCCCCTGTCCATCTCCCGTTGTATCCCCCGCCACCTCACCCTCTAGGGCCTTCCCTTTGCGCTTGCATTCCGCAGGTGCGAAGACAACAGTTCGTGCAGGGCGTCTTAGCTTCTCTCACCAGGTCGCGAGGGCTTCAGTCCAATTGATGTCGTACTGCAGCAGCGATATGGCCATGAGCTTGGAGAGGCGTGCGTTGCAAAGGGAGCCATGGATCCACGACTTAATCACGTTCTGCCGAGAGAAGCCCCTCTCACACTCGATTGTTGACAGAGGCAGCATGGCGCAGGCCTGCCACAGGTGCATCAGATTTGGCCAGCACTTGAAACGGGACAGAAACATAGGCGGACGAAAGGCAATGGGGAATGCATTGCTCTTAGGCGGTTTAGATAGGGGGTTTAGGGGCGGACGGCAAAGGCGGCAATGCTGTGCACACTTAAGTAGAGTGGATGGCGGGGAATCAGAAACACTGTACTCATGGACTTGCTTGCTGGAGTCGGTCTTCGTGAGGCAGTTTGCCAGGCCCTGGTGGAAGCTCTCCACCTTGTGATGGTTCAGCATGATCGGCGCCCAGGTTGCGCAGTCAGTCTCCGCTGCCTTCAGGTCGAAGCCAGACAGCTTCAGGTTGCGTGGTTGAAGATGCCACTTCAGCCGAGCAGATACTCTCTCGCCTTCTTCTCGCGCTTTGCCTGTTGTCTCTCCACTTCCCCGCCACCCACAGCTTCGTCGGCGACATTTTCCGCAGATCCCGCATCCGCTCTAGTACGTTGGCCATGGTCTTCTTCGCGTGCTTCTGGCACAGCTGGTCGCACTCCGTATAGCTGCTCCTGTAGTGGTGCTTGTCGAGATGCCGCTCGCGCATCTTGTACGTGTGGGTGACCAGACTCCCCTCCTTGTCGACGCCGCGCACCTTCACACACTTCAACCCGCTGCGCTCGTACACCGTGAGGAACGCCAACAGCCAAGTGTTTTTGGCTCCGACACCGAAAACCTCCCCGCACTCGATATAGCGGTGCCGCAGATCCCCCAATGTCTCGTTGATGTCTGCTGCCACCTTTGTGACATCGACCTGCGGTGTGGGGTGGAGGACACAGAATAGAGAATAGGATATTAGTAGTTGCAGCAGACTAGAACCACGATCGTAGACATGAGCATCTCACCTCTTGCTTCTGGAACTTGAGGTTGAGGTCGTTCATGACCGCCAGCATGTCGGCCAGGTAGAAGATGCAAAACTGAAAATTATACAAAATCACAACCTCATAGAGGGGATGGTCATACTCATACAGCAGGACAATCGCAGCACCCAACACCTTACACAGGCGTCGGATCATCTCACCCCTACACAGCCATCAAACTTGATGGATGCCTTGGACCTCCAAGTTCGTGCTTGGACCTCCAAGTTTGCTGTAGATACTTGAAGCGATCGCTCCAAATGCTTGACTGGCCGAGAAGGTCTGCAAGGGTGCGAGTGACTTTGTCGAGGTCAAAACACGACGTGGCAGCATCCTTCACAGCAAGGGTTTCCCTTCAGGTACCCACACGGGAGAAGGATAGCGCGCCTAAACTAATGAAAAATCACCAAACATGGCGGAATAGTACAACAAACCTGTGGGCGATGCAGTGGGAGGAAACGAGGTGCGGGATGATGTCTCGCAGGCATGCCACGAGGCCGTTGTCTCACCCGAACATCACCGACGCTCCATCTGTGCTGATGCCGATGATGCGTTGAAGGTCGATGCTGGACGACTCCAGGTGGACTAGGAGTATGGCCATGAGGGAAGCTGCTTCACACTTGTCAATGGTCAGGAGGGCCAGGAATTTGGTGACGACTCATCGCAGCCGCATGAAGGTGACGATCACGTGTTTCCCTCACGTGCGGTCGGTGCTCTCGTCACATGAGATGCCGAGGTAGGGTGAGCTCTTGATGTGCTCCAGCTGAGTAGCCAGAAGATGAGTTGACGAACAGTTGACCATCAGCTAGACCCGTACCTGCAGTGGCATAAACAGAAACAAACGCAGTCATTAGTTATCTTCTCAAGTGCAGATACATTGGCATGGCAGTAAGCAACATCCAAACATCGAGCGCCGGAAGCTGGGTAACCTCACCTGGTGAGATACACTCCGTACAACTGGAGAGGAATGTTTGGCGTGTCTTGCTCTACCATGAAACGGAGTAGCCTTAGAAATATGGTGATGGGAGCATCGTTCATGCAAAGAAATTCGACGCACCGCAAAAGACGGATAATGAGGTGGCCCTTGACGTCGACGGTGGCAAAGCTTGTAATCTTCCACTGCTTGTCTTTGATGTCCTTCTGAATCTCGAACTGCCAGCGAACCGCCTCTTCATGGACTGTAGAGTGTTGGTGGATGCGCATCGTCTGTGTTGGGAGATCTCGCCCGCCGTCACTTTGGGCTTTAGTAATTCATCGTCTCTTTGCCAAGCTTGGCACATGCTGCACTTAAGGGCGGGGTAGCCATCTTTAGTACGGGTAAGTAATAGCCACAGGAAATAACAAAGCCAATCATTCTTGTACTTCGCTTCAGCGACCAGGTACTTCTGCTCGATCAACTCCTTTGAACTTAGCTTTGGTGGCAGCGGTTCATCAGGGCGGGTGACGGGGGGAGGTGAGTGCGGTGGTGAGGGAGGGAGAATCTGGCCACCAAGGTTGATACGCTGCTGCGTATACTTTGTCGTGCGTTGTTTCTTTGCCAAAGAAACAGTAGATGCGCAGGGCACACTGTAATGAACGGTTGACGCTGTGGCACAGTCAACATGATCCATATGACCTCTGCTACAAGATGCTATGGCTGGTGGGAGAACGAATGGAGCGGGGGCAGGAAGACTACTAGGAAACAAAGGCACGTTGCACGGTGTTTCGTCGACAGCGGTTGTGGCAACCAAAGGCGGAGGAACCGATGTGGGGACGGGCCGCAAGAAGTCTAGGCCGCTCCTAGGTGCTATGGCAGATCCTTACTACTGCATGGCTCATCACCGTCAGCAGGAGCGTCGTCGGTGCCACCCTTCTCAGGCATGGCGGGAGGAGAAACAACGGGGGAAAACGAAACTAAACGACACTATGCCAGTGACTCAGACAAATGAGCAGGTGCAACGATTCCCTCTATAAAACCTGAAGTAGTGTGTTCAAGGCTGATGGGTAAGGAATGACTGGACAAGAAGGGACCCATCAAACCCGTATCGCTCCTTTCTTAAAAGGCGTGACACGCTTTTCGGGCCTGTCCTTGCACAACACAACACCATGCATCCTTCTCGACATGTTGGCAGCAATTGCAGCCAATCGAGAAGCTACCCAACCTCTGCAAGACTGGCACAGAGGGCAAGGGCCCGAGGTTCACGCATGCTCAAAGAGCAACGGAGCAGAATCTGCGATCGTTAGTGGCTCGGCGTGGCAGCAATTTTGCTGCGCTGGGTATATTACACGTTGGACTTGGCAAGATTTCCTGCTAAGTGTAGATTCTGCTCCTGACGCGGGCGGGAAGCATTGCTGGCAGGCAAAATTTCTGGGGATCTTGTTATAATCACAATAGGCTTAGATGTGCCTATAATGAGAGATAGAGAGCATAGTCGGATTTCCGTCAGACGGCTTCAAATAGTGATAACGATCTGGTCACTGAATCAAACGGTGATCTGTAAATTGGATCTGGAGCGCGTTAGTGTCGTCTATTAGCAGCAAGTTGAATCATGAAATTCCATGAAGATTTGACGACGCTATGGCGGTTTGACTGGCAGGAGGTGAAGCAGCCACTATAGTCTTAGGAGTACAAACTTAGCAAGAAGAGTTCGAGAGGGAGATGGTTCCCAGCCTCTACATATCCCAAGAGCCGAGGTCCAGGTTGGTGGTACACCACCACAGAGTCCCCAACCATGAAGAGTCTCGAAACCAACCCTCCAAGGGGCTACACCAAGTGAAATGTAACACTACACGAAGTAACGTTACTATTTTCACTATTTAATATTTATCCGCGTCCCTTGGGCTTGAAAATTTGAGCTCTTGTTCTTGGATCTGCAAGATAAATTCTTCTTGAGTTGATGAGGGCTTGCTTCACACACCTGCGACACGATGGACACTTCACACTCGACAAAATAGAAAAAACACATGCGACACACAAACAAGGACGACAAGCCGAGTGCAAGCCATAGGGTTGCACCAACAAACTCCCCCTCGGATTGTTGGCCTTAGAATCTGCTCCCCTTAGTTCAGAGCCATCCTAGCAAGCTTGCAACACTTCCAATGCTGCTGCTCAACCAGCCTCTTGGTCATCATATCAGCAGGCTGCGCCGTCGTCTTCACGTAGTGCAACTCCACTTCACCCGCGGTTACCATGCTCCTCACCCAATGCCACTTCACCTTCATGTGCTTGGTAAGGCCATGAAGAACGGGGTTCTTAGCCAATGCAATAGCACCTTGGCTATCACAGTAGAGTGGGGTAGGTCCTTGCTGCTCCTCCCCCAATTCAGCTAGCAAACGCCGCTGCCACACAACCTCTCTTATGGCACGGAAGAGTGCCATGTACTCGGACTCCACCGAGCTCAATGCTTGGTCCACTTGTTTCTTGCTCTCCCAAGCTGTTGGCCCTCCACCAACACAGCAGATGAAGCCTCCCACACTTGTCATGTCCTCTGGTTCTGATGCCCAAGATGCATCACAGAAGGCGTTGAGAAAGAGCCTCCCGGGTTCGACTCCATCCGCCCCCTTTTGACGCCTTTGTGCCGCCGCGGAGTATTGCAGTCCAACAGTTGCTGTTTGGCCAAGGTAATTGGCCACTCTCTCTCCAGCTGCTACCTGCTCTTCATTAGGGCATTGGACAACCCTAGCCAGCTGCCCGGTAGCAAAGGCTGCATCCGGCCTTGTGTGAACGGCCGCATACATAAGGCTGCCCACCAAGGAATGAAAGCGGTGCCTCTCCTCTTCACCAACACTTTCCTCCGCTGGTCCTTTCACACACTTGAACCCTGAGGGAAGAGGAGTAGCCACATGACCTTCACTCTTCCCAAAGTTTGCAGCCAAGGCCTCCAAGTACTTCTTTTGATGCACTCGCATCCACCGCTTCTCCACATCTCGCTCAATGTGAAGCCCAAGGTAATAGTTGACGTCACCAAGGGTCTTGCACTTGAACTTGTCTTGAAGCTTCAGCATCACCTCCTTCACAAGGTCAGAGGAGGGTGAGAATATGAGGATGTCATCCACATAAACCACCATGAAGCTCCTCTGCTCCCCCTCGCCAAGCATGAACAACGATTGATCGGCCGTTGAGGGAGTGCAGCCGATCGCCTCCAAGACTTCCCGCAGCTTGATGTACCATTGCCTAGGGGCTTGCTTGAGGCCATAGAGTGCTTTCTTCAGCTTCCACACTCTGCCACTCCCATCATTGTACCCCTCTGGCTGCTCCATGTAGGTCTCTTCCTCCAAAACGCCGTTGAGGAAGGCCGTTACTATATCCATTTGCTTCACCACCCATCCTTTGATGGCCGCCGCGGCGAAGAGAGTTCCAAGGGTTGTACCCTTCACCACAGGGGCATACACTTCATTGTAGTCCTTCTTCTCTTGCTGCTGATACCCCTTGGCTACAAGTCTGCTCTTGTAGCGCTCGATGTTGCCGTCGGCGTCGGTCTTGCGCTTGAAGAGCCACTTGGAAGAGATCGCCTTCCGCCCCGGAGGTAGATTCACCAAGTCAAATGTGTCGTTCTCTATGATGCTCCCCATTTCTTCATCTGAGGCCTTCTTCCACTCCTTCCCATTGGGGCCCTCCCAAGCCTCCTTGGGATTTGTAGGCTCCCCCGGCATCTCCACCGGAGAGAAGAAGGCAAAGGCGCACTCCTCGCTTTCATCTTCCGAATCATCGCCTAGCATGAGAGCCGAACCGGTCAAGGTTGAGTTGGCTGGTCCTCCAAGCTGGTCATAGCTCAACCTATTAGGGGGCTGAGTCCTCCTTCTCCCCCTTCCTTCCTCCTCTACTGCAGGGACTTGAATGCTCTCATGGCGTTGCGGTAAATCTGGTCGGTTCCCACGAGCACTTGTAGCACGAGGCGGAAGTGACGGTGCACGCTCATCACCTTGCTGCACCTCCTCCTCCTCCTCATCCCCATTCATTTGAGGAGATTGCCTCGTGACTGTGCTGCTGCTACTCAGCTCCAAGGGCAGCTCCACATGCTCCAAGCCGTTACTCTTCACCTCTCCAAGCCGCACACCAATCTTCGCTTGGTTCTCCGCCTTCCACTCCTTGTACGGTAAGTTCTCCATGAACTTGCAATCTCTGCTCACCAAGAACTTCTTGATAAATGGGTCCCATAGAAGCCATCCTTTGCTGTTTTGGGCCATGCCCAGGTGCACGGCCCATGTTGCCTTGGCATCAAGCTTGTTGTGCCGAAGTTTCTTAGGCACAAGTGCCATGCACATGCACCCGAACACCCGAAGCATATCCACCTTCGGCTTCCTTCCAATCCACTCCACATAGGGCACCCATTTGTCTTCTCCCACATGAGTCAAGGCTCTGTTCTTGGCCACACAAGCATGCCGCACCGCATCCGGCCAAAAGTAATTGGGAAGACCGGCTTCAATGAGAAGTCCCCGAGCCGTCTCCGTGAGTGTCCGATTCGCACGCTCGGCGATGCCGTTCATTGCAGGAGAGTAGGGCATGGTAAGAGAGTGCCTTATGCCCTGCTTCTTCAGCCAAGTTGAGAAATCCTTGCTCAGGAACTCTCCCCCACGGTCAGTGCGAATCGCCTTCACAAGTCGGTCTTGTTGCCGCTCCACCATCGGCAACCAATCGGTCTTCACCGTTTCAGCTACGTCACTCTTCTTCGACAGCACATACACCCAAGTCATGCGAGTGTAGACGTCCACAATGGTGAGGAAGTACTCAGCTCTAGCAGCTCCAAGCTTCAAGGGGCCCACAACATCCATCACGACCTCATCAAGTGGTGCCTTCGCCGTTGTCTCCGAGCTATGGAACGGGTAGCGGGTGAACTTGGCTTGCATGCATGTTGGACAGCCAAGCACCTCATTGGGCTCCCCCTTGACACGTATCCCACTGACCAACTCCTGCTTAACTATCTTATGCAAAATGGGCAATGCCACATGCCCCATTCGCCGATGCAAGGTCAGCCAATCACACTCTCCCGTAGCGGAAGTCGGGTTGGAGAAAGCGGCACTCGCAATCGTGCCCCACAAGCTCTCTCCTTTCTCCTTTGCCGCTGCTGCTTTGCTGATCTTAGGCTTATTCTCCTCATTTCCACCACCTTTGGCTGCTGCACCATTCTCCTTGGGTTCACACGCCTTGCTGGTCTCTCCAAGGTTGCACTCCTTCGAGTCACTCTTGGTGTCACTTTGTTTTCCGTGATCACCGCCACCAACCGCTTCACTCTTGGTGTTGATGCTTGCTGCCACTTGCCTCCCCTTAGGCATGGGGACCACTGGGATTTGCCACATCTCATTGTAGATGTCCCTGTCCTCATGAAGGTCCCAAAGCTTCCGCTCACCAAGCCTCGCGGTATATGTTTTGGAGCCCTTGGAAGATGTGTCCATGCCGGCCTTTTGCAAACGCCGAACAGAGATCAGGTTGGCTGCAAGGTTGGGCACCCAAAGCACGTTCTTGAGGCCCACCATCTTCCCATCAGCACCCTTGAACATGGCCTTGCCCATGCCTTTCACCTCTGCTCGCTGCCCCAAAGCCGATGTAACATGCTTGACCGGCGACGGTTCGAGTTCAGTGAGCAAGTCCGCACGAGGTGTCATGCTGTAGGTGGCGCCGCTATCGATCACCCAAAAGTCCAGAGAGTGAAGGGTGACCTTTCCCACAGTAGCTGGCTCCTCAAAGCCATCCACACCTCCTGCTGCAGCTGCCGCCTGTGTGGAGACAGAAGAATTGGCCCGGGTATCGATCTTCACTCGAGTCCTTGTCGTAGTCTCCACCTTTCATGCTTGCCGCTTCGCCTCCACGGCCACCACGGCCTCCACGACCTCTGCCTCTTCCTCCCCTTGCTCCTCTGCCCTCTTGGCCTTGAGAAGGGGTCCATCCATCAGGCAATCTGAAGCAATCTCTCCACATGTGGCCGGTCTTGTGACAAAAGTGACATTCGCCATCAAATCGACCGCGCCCACGCCCGTAGCCATTGTTGTTGTTGCTGCCATATCCTCCATTACCATGGCCTCCACTGAAGTTACTGCTGCCAAATCTTCCTCCTCGCCCTCTGCCCCTTCCACGGCCGTGCCCACGGCCCATGCTTGCAACTCCGGCACCATCGGGACCCGCCAATTCGCGGCGGCGGAAATCTTCTTGTAAGATTTCCTGCTTCACATCTTCGAGTGAGAGACGGGGCAGATCTCGATTAAGGTTGATGATGAGCGAGGACCATGAGTCCGGAAGTAAGGCTAGCAGCTTGGTCTTCTTTTGAAGGTCACTGTAGTTCAGGTCAGCTCCTTCGAGCCGTGTCAACAAGTCGAAGAATTTCTGCACTCCTTCCTCCACCGGTTCGCCTTCGTCAATTCGAAGTGCCGCCATTTGCTGCTCCAAAACCACAGCCACCGCCGCTGTTGCAGGAGCGTGTACACCCTTGAGAGCAACCCATGCCTTTGGTCCCTATGCTGGTTCACGCTGAAAAGGCTTGATGTGACGGATTTGGCTGCTCCCCAACGCTTGCCCAAGTAGAAGGTAGCCTTGTGCGCTCTTCCGCACCCACGGGCTCTTCTCCGGGTCGTTCTCGGGGCGCTTCTCCGTTCCTTCCATCACCTCCAGCAGATCATAGTGGTCAAAGATGTTCTCCATCTTGAAGGACCACTCAGCAAAGTTGTCACCGTTGAACTTGTCAAGGCCAAACACTCTAGGCTCATCCCTAGAGGGTCCAAGGCTAGGTTGCACCGGAGCAACGGGTGGATCTTGGTGTTGACCTTGTGCTTTGGCGTCTTCTCTACCTCCAGCACTCTGCCAACCCCTTCCTCAGGTCTAGGCATGGTCGAGACGGCTCCAAGGGGCTCTGATACCACTTGTTATAATCACAATAGGCTTAGATGTGCCTATAATGAGAGATAAAGAGCACAGTCGGATTTCCGTCAGACGGCTTCAAATACGGATAACGATCTGGTGACTGAATCAAATGGTGATCTGTAAATTGGATCTGGAGCGCGTTAGTGTCGTCTATTAGCAGCAAGTTGAATCATGAAATTCCATGAAGATTTGATGACGCTATGGCGGTTTGACTGGCAGGAGGTGAAGCAGCCACTATAGTCTTAGGAGTACAAACTTAGCAAGAAGAGTTCGAGAGGGAGATGGTTCCCAGCCTCTACATACCCCAAGAGCCGAGGTCCAGGTTGGTGGTACACCACCACAGAGTCCCCAACCATGAAGAGTCTCGAAACCAACCCTCCAAGGGGCTACACCAAGTGAAATGTAACACTACACGAAGTAACGTTACTATTTTCACTATTTAATATTTATCCGCGTCTTTTGGGCTTGAAAACTTGAGCTCTTGTTCTTGGATCTGCAAGATAAATTCTTCTTGAGTTGATGGGGGCTTGCTGCACACACCTGCGACACGATGGACACTTCACACTCGACAAAATAGAAAAAACACATGCGACACACAAACAAGGACGACAAGCCGAGTGCAAGCCATAGGGTTGCACCAACAGATCTTGCGTGCCCCATGGAAGTTTGTTTCAGGGTCAGTACGAGCTGTATTCTGGAAACTCAGTACTGGATTAGCGTGAAGTCTGATATTTTCAGGATCCCCAAAGTCTAACTCTAAATCGATCAGGATTGGGAAAATGGCTTATGTGGAAATTCAGGTTTACACAAATAACCGGTCTGAAATTTCAGACTAATCAGAGTAAATAGTCAAATAAAAACAGCCATGGTCTGGACTATAGGTTCGCACCTACTTGGGATGTGGGTTTGAGCAGTAGTCCCCAAGATCTTGAGCCCCAAATTTTACTTAGGATGCAAAAAACATGAGCTTATGTGATGCTCACTAGCTGGAAAAAGCTCAAGTTCTTACCTCATGGGCCAACACCCAAGTGTTGGTCTTGTGACAAAAGTGTCTACGCCATAGATTTGCACCTACTTGGGTTTTAGGTTGAGCAGTAGTTCCCAAGCCCTTGAGCCCATAATTATACTAGACGTGCAAAAAATATGAGCTTATGTGATGCTCACTAGCTGGAAATAACTCAAGTTGTTATCTCATGGGCCCACGCCCAAGTGTTGGTCATGGGGCAAAAGTGTCTGGGCCATAGGTTCGCACCTACTTGGGATATTGGTTTGAGCAGTATTCCTCAAGCTCTTAAGTCCCTAATCTTAATAGGGATGCAAAAACATGAGCTTATGTGATGCTCACTAGCTGGAAAAAACTCAAGTTGTTACCTCATGGGCCAACGGCCAAGTGTTGATCATGGGGCAAAAGTGTCTGGGCCATAGGTTCGTGTCTTCTTGGAATTTGGATTTGAGCAGTAGTCCCCAAGCTCTCGATCCCCAAATCTTACTAGGGATGCAAAAAACATGAGCTTATGTAATGCTCACTAGCTGGAAATAATCCAAGTAATTACCTCACGGGCCAACGCTGGTCATGGGTGTTGTGTGATGTCATCATATGTTATCACATTCTGTCTGCCTCCCATCCCTTGTTTCAATTCGCACGTATGGTTTGACTGTGTGTGAAAGAATTTGTGTGGTGTGTGTTCTGGAGTTTGGGAATGTGTTTTGTGTTATTCTGTCTGAGCAGGTATTTGTGATGATAGATCTTGAGAAGATCTTTCCGACGCAACAAGAATCGCGTCAATCGGAGCAAGAACGCGAAAGCTATGAAGATTCAAAGTTCATGAGCTTGCGTTACAATTGCGGCGGTTACAAAGTGAAGTTGTGGGGTGACTTTATATGGAGTTGGGACCTTTGGGGTTGGGGAAATTCGTCACTCTACTGTAACAGCTGCAAATTGGTTGGGAACAACCAAGCTAGGTTGGCAAGGGTGGCCAACTTGGATGGATTGGTTGGGAAGGGACAAATGTCAAAGTTGGGGTTCCTATAGGGAGGGAATCTTTGTGCTTATGGGGTTTCCTTGGTTGGGGACTCTCTTGGGACCTTCCCTCTCATCCCTCTCTTCTATCCCAACCTTTCTCTTGCTCCTCTAATTCCTTGTGAGATTCTTGAACTTTGATTGAACTCTTGAGATTGAGTTAAGTTCTCCTCCTACAGCTTACCCCCTAGTGCGTCGAAAGCCATAGCGTCGCGAATACTTCATCAATCAACGTGATTCAAATT